GAGGTTACAGTTCGATACCCGCCCAGGGCACATGCCCAGCATTCTGGGCTCCATCTCCATCAGCTGGTCAGTGCTTCTCTCTCAGCATTGATGCTTCTCTCTCTCCCTCTCTGGCATCAATAAAAACACATATTCAGAAGCACACATGCATCTTTATGGTTCAGTGGTAACGTCGGGGGAGAGGTGCCCAGAGTGTCCTTTGCTATGTGCCTTGGCCCAGGCATACCAGTGAGACGTGCTCTTGTTCTAGACAGCGGTTCTCAGAGTGTGGGCCCCGGGACCTGGGGGAGCCCAGGTATAGGAAGTCAGAGGCACTTCGTAGTCCAATTCAGTGTTCCTTATTTCTGTCCTGTCTCAGCATGTGCACAGGTGATCCGAAGTGAGGCCGGTAAGACGGCTGGCATCCTGGCACGCGTAGAAGCTGAGATTTTTTTTGTTTTAATAGTGCACGTGTGTACCCTCTGCCTGTCGGTCTTTGCACGTGTCCCCGCCATGCACTTGTAGTAAATCCTACTGACAAGATAATAAACAGCATTAAAAAAAAGTCAGTTTCTCTTAAGAATGGCCGTGATTGACGCGACACAAGTCGTTACATCTCAGCCTTCGGTGGCACATCTTACAGCTGTTCCCTGGGATAGGATGGCACGGCCACGCGGCATCACTGGGCCGTGGCCTCCGGAGCCCGGTGGCTGTCACGTTGGGTTAGCAGCCGGATATCGCTGGCTCCTCACTGTCGTACCCACATATCCACAAATTGGGACCTATTGGGACATGCACGGCTTTCAGTCCTTACATTGAAATGATTTAGGTGTCTCTCATATTTTTGTTTAGAGACAATGACGTCCTCATATGGTATCTTGCGGAAGTCACGTGCTTAAAAATGCACTTGCAGCTCAGGTCCTGGTCAGGACTGGTGCAGGAGGCACCAATCCATGTGTTTCTCTCACATGGATGTTTCTGTCTGTCTCTCAAAATCAATGGAAAAAATACATTAAAAAAAAAAAAACACTTAGAGTTATCTCAGTTGCCTTGAGCTTTCAGGCGGGAGAACTTTTGTCACATGGATGTGCCAGGAAGACACCATTGTTTTTGAACTCCTTCCACCTCCCCACGCCCACAGGTCCGTGGAGAAACCAGGAATCTGACAGAGAACCAGAACCTGGATCCGGGCCCTGTACATATAGGATTTACTTGGGGAGAAAGATTTTAAAACCAGGCATTTCCCAGGTGCCTTCAGCAGCTCCACTGGGCTCAAGGTTGATTTCTGTGATCAAACCTTTGGCAGCGTTGTGGCTGTTAGTGGTTTTAAAGTATAATGCTCTGTGATAGGAAAACATAATGGCACTTGTCTCAGAAGCATGTTGTGTTGGATCCTAAAAGGCGGTGGTTGCCAAAGGAACTGTCTTTCCAAGAAGAAAAACAAAAGTATTGATTAGGATGGGGACCTCGAATGGAGAGGGTTTCTCTGAAAAAGAAGATAAAGGCATGGAAGACATGCCTGGCTTCTGAGTCCGGTGCTTCCTGAGCGGCCGGGGTGGCCAGGGTGTTTCCTGTGGGGACCGCAGGCTTCCCATTCCCGTGCTCTTCCAAGACGGCTGTCCGATCGCTGAGAGGCTGCGGCGAGGGGCCAGGGAGAGCACGGGCAGCTGCCTCCCCCCGCTGCCTCTGCGGGGGAAGGGCCTTGCTGGGGAGGCCGGGAGGCATCTGGCAGGGAAACGAATTGGCTCCGAGGTGGACTCCGTGGGAGGGCGGGCGACGCCAGCCCGGTGATAAGAGGTTGGAGTTGGGGAGCTGCGATGGGAGGCAGCCCGGTGATAGATGATCTCTGGCGAAGAAAGTGCCAGAACGGGCCCAAGCATTTCTTCAGAATGCCCGCCTCACGGATGCCTTTCTGATCCGCGTCTTAAATGCCATTTTTGTTGTGCAGATATTCTTTACGTGGGAACATAGTTTTCCTCACGATCTTCTACAGGTATGCGTGTACATGTATATACAGACATAATACTTGTTAAACAAAATATTTTCTGTTAAAAGGAGAAGCATAGATGACAGCGTTGACCATGCCAGCGACGTGAACGTTTGGGTAGATCGATATTGAACACTAGAGTAAGTTCTGCGGCGAAGGGGGCTCACAGTTGGCTGAGACCTGGCTCTGTGGGTCAGGACTCTCCGTCCAGAGGGGAGATTTGGCCTCACAAAAAAACCACCCCCGCAGGGGACAGAGGTCTCCGCAGGTGTGTGGGGAAGCACGGAGGATGGAGCAGCTCGATGCTGGACAAGACTCTCAGAGAGGTGTGATTTGAACTGGGCCTTGAAGGACAAATAGGAACTGTCAGAGGACGAAGAGAAAGAGGCGTCTAGGCGGATGATGCTCCAGGAGCAAAGGCATGAGAGCATTGTTCATGGTCCCCAGTGAGGACCTCAGTGGGCTTAGAGCACGCGGACATGGGATGATTGGCAGGAGAGGAGTCCAGAAGGAGGTACAAGACATACATGAAGAACCTTACTTTTTTTGTGTTTTTTTAAAATATGTTTTTATTGATTTTTTTTTTACAGAGAGAAAGTTAGAAACATCGGTGAGAGAGAGACATCGATCAGTTGCCTCCTGCACACACCCCACTGGGGATGTGCCTGCAACCAAGGTACATGCCCTTGACCGGAACTGAACCTGGGACCCTTCAGTCCGCAGGTCAACGCTCTATCCACTGAGCCAAACCGGTTTCGGCAAGAACCTTACATTTTTATTCTTCTTATATTCAGTAGGAAGTCTGGACCCCTGAGCAGGTTTGGTTTTTTGAGAAAGCTGTTTGCGGGGACAGACAGTGTGGGGAATGGTGGGGGAGCGTAGGGACAGGAGGACGGTGGCTGGGGGCCTGGGCTGAGGGTGCTGTAGCTCAGGAAAAGGGTGACCTCAGGGAGTTCCAGTTCCAGCGAAGCGGAGGGATGTTTATTCCGGGGAGAAATCTGCATCAGAGTCCACTCAGTTTGGTGATATGTTAATTGCACATATTTATAAAAATAGTAATGAAGAGTTTTTCTCAGACTAGGGGAAAGAAGAGAAGCATGGTTTTTCAGTAGTTCAAACGTTACTATAATTTCTTACGAGTTTTTAAGTTCCTAGTGTTAAACTTTTATTTGAGTTACACATTTACATATACTGTCTCAAAAATTCCTTCGTGGCAAATGTCACTTACCTTGTTGAGGCTGGCGGCACTGAATAGCATGTCCACAGTTAAATATAGAGATGAATTATTTACCTGTGCTGCTGTGTTATTTATCAGAACTGAAGGTGAAAATGATCACCCCCTTTTCCATGTTGAACTGTTTCAATATATTCTTTTCTGGTTTCCTTTTCGGAATAATTGGGTGATTTCGCTGTTGTCTTGATGATAGGACTGTACCTTTGTGTGTGCATGGTATACATACAGGGTCATTTCTGAAGACCAGGTACTTAGGAAAACAAACATTAAAACAGATAAAGTGTGGCTTTGTTTAAGCTTCTCAGATCATTTCATGAAGAGCCGAGCTTTTGATCTCTTATGAGCTTCAGCTTCTGAAATTAAAACACAGGAGGTTTTCTCTCCTCCCTCTTCAAAGAATCACGCTGCAGCTCTTTACTTTGTAAGTGATATCCTTCCAAAGACCCCTTGACCAGAAAGTTACTTATTTCAGTGTAGGAAAGTAAGTCTTCTGCCTAACTCCGCTGTCGGCAAACTGCGGTTCCCGAGCCACATGCAGCTCTTTGGCCCCTTGAGTGTGGCTCTTCCACAACGTCACACGGCCTGGGTGAGTCTATTTTGAAGACGTGGCTCTTAAAAGAAATTTCAATTGTCATACTGTTGATATTTGGCTCTGTTGTCTAATGAGTTTGCCGACCACTGGCCTAACTTACACAATAAATCAGCGATGTCACCAGAAGTAAAAATTAGCCCCATAAAAATCATGGCTGTTCATTTGCACCATCTTCGAGAAAACACATTCTTAAGATGGCTTCCTGCCTGCCTTTGTTTGAGCAAAGGGTTTAAGGGATCTTAAATTCAAGCACTTTAAAAAATTCTCTTCAGATATGGTATCAGAAACATGTTCTTTAACAGCCATTACCCAGGTAGAGGTGCGATAAGGTATCTTGTAAAGATAACGTTAAGGGCTGGGGGAGACACACGTAATATCCCAAAGATGCATAGAGAAATAATCTGGTTTCCTGTAGGAGGTGTTTCAACTCCAAGGCTTATTACTTAGGACTGGGTCTGTCTGTGGTTGTCTTGTTTGTGTCACTTGTGTGAGTTGGTCCCGTGGACGCTGCGGTTAATCATCTGCCTCCATTCTGTGACCAGCACGCAGCTGCGGTCTTGGGTTGGGAATTGGACTCGCTCAGCCTCTCCCCAGACTGTGGTCCTCGGCTTTGTTGTTCTTCCGGCTTTGGCTTTGGTTAGTGATGGGTGTTAGCATCTCTCCTGAAATGCACTGAGGGGGCCTCCGCCATTGTGTCCCGTTCTAAACTCTTGCTGGTGTCTGATTTATTTTTTTTTTTAATGTTTATTACTATCTGCCTTGGTGTATTAAGTTAGAGAGCCGTTTTAAATTCGAAGGTGGTCTCTACCAGATGGCATAAAAAACGATGGGTTTTGGGGAATACTGTTGTAGATTGGCTAATGTGACCCGTAGTCATTTGATTGAACGTGGGGAAATCCAGGAAGCTGGGTTTAAAATCTTAAAGGAATCTCAATGATCACAATAACACATAAGAGAAGCAGGGGTTTTTATCACCACCGCTGTCTGCTAGTACGTGGGCGGCTGTACTTCAGTCTCCTCCATTATCAGGAGCTTGGGTTTCATTCATTTGTGACCCTGCAGCCAGACGGCCTTCCGTAAATGGAGGTGCCACATCGGATGTGAATCTTGACAGCCTTGCACATTTTTTTTTTTTCTTTCTTCCCAACAGGCCTTTCTTTGAAGGAAGCTAACAAGCCAACATTATGTGGTTCTTAATTGTTTTGCAGATGAGAACTGGGACGATGACCAACTGCTGGGTTTTGAGCCGTGTAAAGAAAACCTTGTCTCCGGCTGCAATATCATCAACGGGAAATGCGAATGTGTCACCGTTCGGAACTGCAACAACCCCTTCGAGTTCCCGAGGAAGGACCTGTGTCTTTCAGCCTTAAAGAGGATTCAGGGTGAGTACCCATGTTCACCGTCGCAAGCTTAGCATTGTGGAACCCGAGCAGTTGAGCCTGGGAAGGCAAAGACGCGCTCGCAGAGATGGATGGCTTTCATAACCCCAGGCAAGATTTGCCTCGAGTTGGCCAGGTGCTGACGTGATGGTGTGTGTGTGTGTGTCTGTGTGTGTGTGCGTGCGTGTGTTTCCTGGGAGCTGTGGCCTGATAAGGCTGTGGTAGTATGAACAAGGCAGTTGGTGCCAGCTTGCCCAGGTCACCTTTCCGAATGGAGCTTTCGCGAGCGGTGTGCTTGAGACCAGCATCTGTTGTCCCCTGGTCCATTCCACTTGATTTACCGCAGGAAGATGGCCATGAGGAGCGTGCTAATTAGAAAACGCAGCTCATCTGGCATGAAAGCAGCCTCCCTCGGGCTGGGATGGGAGAATTGTGTGGTGACGATTGAAGGCTTCGGTTGGCTTTGCCATGGGGCAAAATTGCGGAGGTGTGGATGGATTGCTGGGCACTTCACCTCTTAGGATGAAGTCAGGAATCATATTAAAATAACAAGAAAATTACAGGATCATGGCTCACAGCTTTTGTACACTCACGCATGCTACCTTAGAAGAAAGATGGAGGGCGTGAAAAGAGGATTCCTAGCCACAGCAATCACAGGTGGCATGCCAAGAGCTTGGTGCTGTGGCAGAATGAACAAAGGAAGCGGCCTGAGCGTGGGCCTCGCTTGGTCCCTGAACTCTCCCTCTGTTCCAGGTTCTTCTAGGGAGAAAAGAAGACTGAAGGAGACACGCTTAAATAGACCTTTTATCTCTGAAACGATGCCACTCTGAAATGAACTACCAAGGATTTTCAAGGTCCAAAGTCACACCCATGAGGACAGTAGAGCAGGACTTTCATCTTGAATTGCATTAAGTGTCCAGGTCATGTTAAATGGCAGTAATGAATAAGAAATTTATAGCAGTCTGTAGATAACATCTATATGTATGTACCAGTGCTGTTGAATCATTCACAGATAATATAGTAGAAAATAGGCGTAAAATCTTAGAACCACAGTGGGTCTTAGGTAACATGTAGTCTGGTCCTTGAATTTGGAATGGGATCGCTGGGCTCCACACGGCAGGTCGCTAAGAAGCCCAGGACTAACCATGTACAGTCTTTTTTCGGTCACATCAGCACATTAGACAACGCAGTCGGTTAACGAACAAACTCATTGTCACTGTCTGACTCTCGGCTCACCCCTGTCCCCACCCCGCTTTCCTGCCAAAAATAGGAGGGTTTTGCCAACTTCAGTATGTAACTCTCAAGGATGTAGATGAAGTGGTCAAATGTCTATTTAGATGATTAAGTCAGTTACTCATACATATTTAAAACCACATGGTATAAAATACTACAATTTAGATGATTGGTTTTCGCCATTCTTACATTTCACCAACGTGTGTGACTCAAATGTTACGATGAATCACTGTCATTGCCTCTGCTTAGACCACCTTCCGAATTGTTTTGACACCCGGTCTCTGGGCACACCCTCCTCGTTACCGTCTTAAATTGTCGAGATACAGCAAGGTTTTGAACCCACGTTACCACAAGAAGTTTTGTCCTAAAACACAATATCTTTTCTCATAAAACAAGGACTGTTGCATGTTTAATTAGTTAGGTGTATATTTATGGCCTTGACCATGTGAAGATTTAACCGCATTGATTTTCAAAGTGATTCTAAAAAGGCTGTTTACCAGATATAGCACTTCCAATTCTGAGCTCATTCTCTCAGAAATAATGGCTATAGCGGATTAAATTTCTGTTCCTTCCTTCCCCCCAACCCCCCACCCCCTTGTTAACAGATTCTGTCAGATGGCCTCTATATAATACAGAAATAGGATTGGTTGAGGTCACTTAAAGTTAATGTATCTTCTACAAACAGTGCTTTGTTTTTCAAAACACAGCACCCTGCAGAATTTGAGCTCTTGTGAGAAGTCAGTTGTGGGGGGATTTCTCTTTTCTGAGAAACGATTTTGAAGAAAAAGCTCTCCTTTTATTCAAGTATACATTGCATACGAGCGAATTAATGGGAATAGAGTACTGTAGTTTCAGTCATTAATAGCAATGAACACTTTGAATGCTATAGGCGCTTAGGGCCAAAAACTGTGGTCTGGAATTATATACAAACTAGAGGCCCAGTGTGGGGGGTTGGGGGCGTTGGTCCCCTCAGCCTGGCCTGTGCCCTCTCGCAGTCCGGGACCCCTTGCTCCGTATGCTCACTGCTCCTACCACTCAGCTTGCTGTCCTTAGTGCTGCCGAGGAGACCGCGAGGCTCCTGCCACCGCTGCTGTGTTCGCCAGCTGAGAGTCCAGCTTCTGGCTGTGGGAGTGCACTGACCACCAGGGGGCAGCTTCTGTGTTGCGTGTCTGCCCCCTGATGGTCAGTGCGCATCATAGTGACCGGTCGTTCCGCCGTAATAGTTGCTTAGGCTTTTATTACATAGATAGCCTCATGGCTGTTATGTACCAATAGTCTCCGAGGCATCACGGAGGAGATGCACTTGGAACAACTTGACATTTGGATGGTGGTGGGATCCAGGAAGGGATCTGATTGGCTGTGGGCATAGCAAAGTTATGGTCGATTAGCATTTTTTTAAAAAAATTCCTGTAGATAATCAGCAATGCAAGATGTACCCTCCCCATGGCCGTTTCTTATTTATCCCGAAGCAAGACCCTCTGGGCCTTTTCTGCTGCACGATGTGATGTGCACCGATTCCCAATTTCAAAGGTAGCCACGTGCTTCACACTCATCACAGACTCTGTTTTCCTCAGGCCAGCCACACCAGTATTATAAAATATGCTTTTGAGTGCATTTCTTTAGCTCCTGCGTAATATTTTTTTAGAGCATTTTTGAGGAATTCAGTTAACACTGCTTATCAAGTTGGGAAACTTGGCTAAATAGTCCTTCCCTTGGCTAAATAAGACGCTGTGGAACACGATCTTCCTTTTCTACCACCCAGGCCCCAGCGGATGGGATTTTTCCCAGGGCCGTCCACGTGCCGTTACAGAGCCTTGGTACCAGACGGCAGCCAGGCCCTTATGCAACTTGAACTCTGCATTGCTGTCGCCCTCTCTGTAAAAGTAACCCCAGATTGATAACACGCTCTATCTCTCCTCTGTAGGAGCATAGAGATAGAGTGGCTTGGAAACCTTAAATATATGTGTTTCATTTCACATTCCAGCAACATCCCGGGGAAAGGACGTGTAGACAAAGTTATTTATTTTCATACGCCATGGACTTCTCATTCCGGTTGACAGCCGAATCAGTCTTGCAGAATTTAGTGTGTTAGGCACAGACTTGTTGTTTTGATGTCTCCATAACTGGTACAGGGGGGGAAACGAGGCCTACCAAAAGGCGGATACCAGATTCGACGATCTGGGAAATCAAAACAGGAAACTCAAGGAACTTGGCCCAAGACCAGCTGGAGAGGAGGAGCAGTTGCTAGAATAATTATACCTGCGTTTTAACTGTGGGAAGTCATACAGTGACCTGCTGGTTGTTTGTGATTTCATGTGCCCAGCAGAAAAGTCACAGTTACATCGTTTATATGCTAGTGCAGAGAGAGAGAGAGAGAGAGAGAGAATAGGAGCATTTTACTTATTAGAGAGAGAGTGAGTATAGGAGCATTTTATTTAGCCACATTGGGGTTACAATCAACAAATGGTGTAAAAACAAATCTCTAGCCTGACCTTTACAAGAGTGCTCCCTGTACAGGTCCAGGTAAACAGCCAGTGACATTCTGTGCCTCTTATTGGCTTCCCTCTCTTTGCTTTAACTCGTTCCCTGTGCTTTCAAGCCCTCCCTCCTGTCCGCACTGTGTGCAGCCCAGCTGTCTGCTGGTCTGCCCCCACCCAGGCCCGGGTTGGTGCAGGACTCCCGGAAGTGCCATTTTTGTTACCAGCGTGTGCTTGCTTCGAGATTAAATACTACACCCTCAGTATATATGTTTAAGCACACGCTTCCTGTTGTTGTTAAAAGCACCCCAACGCCTTCTGTTTCCACCATCCCGTGGTGCCGGGATGGGGCGGTGTGGGAGGACTGCCGTTAGGAGGGTAATGTTGCAGCTTCTCGGTAACCCTGAGCAGCCCCTGCGTGTTTGTGGTTTCTGACTTGGCTGCAGGCGACCTCTCGGTGATTCCCAGGGCTTGGCGCATGCTCTCTCACCCAGAGCTGCCGAGTTGCGCTCTGCCCGGCTGTGTCTGCTTAAACCCTGGCCTACAAAAGCGCTTCCTGGCGGGAGCAGAGGACCAGCTGCTGCCCAGGGAGCCGGTGGGGATCATCCCCCACTCCATGGCAGGGCCCTTCCTGAGAGGAGTGGGCGCTGTCCCTTCTGCCCGAGGCCCACTCCACCATCAGCTCCTCCTTCCCAAGTTCAGGCCATTAAAACCTCATGCATTAGTGTAACTGGTTAGTCCAAAACCATAATCTGGGATTTTGGACAACTCGGGCAAGCATGGTAGTTTATATTTGTTCTGCTTCTAGGGAAAAACAAAAAGTCTTTTAGAAGGAAAGTTCAAGAAACAGTTTGGGCGTATAACCACTTGAGCAGGAATTTACATTTCATCAGAAAGTCATCATTTCAGCTGTCCTTACACAGGTATCTCTATGGGTAAGGATTCTCTGCTAGATACTGTTCTCCCCCCCCCTCCCCATTTCCCACTCTTGCCAGTGTTTTATGTTGACTAGTACCTTGATTAAGAGATCTTCAAATACTCTTTGAATGTTTTAATTTTTTAAAAAGCAAGAAAATATTAATAGGAGACCGTGCATGCAATATACACATAAAGATGTATCTCTGGACAGAGCTCCGATTTCTTCCACTTATTGAAGGCGAGTAGAACTAACCTTAGGTCAAAATGGCGAAGGTTGCCACATTTGTCTTTTTCTCACTCTGGCCACCCATCCTATTTTTCATATTTTTCCCACCCCAAAAGCTGAGCTGCCTCTTTTTTTTTTCTCTATCATCG